ATTTATATTTTTATACATTTATATCTTTATATATTTATATATTTAAGAAAAAATTAAAAAATTAAATATTAAATTTTAAAGTAATATTATATTTTTAAAAATAAATATTAGAAAAAAGTTAAAAAAATATATATATATATATATATATATATATATATACATATATATATATATATATATATATATATATATATATATATATATTATATTTACATGTATAAAATATTAAAGGTATATATTTATATCTTTATATCTTTACATATATTTATATCTTTATTTATTTAAAAATTTATATTTTTATATATTTAAGAAAAAATTTTAAATATAAATTTATACACAATGAAAATAAATTATAAATATTATAATATAATGGTATATTAGTATATTATAGTTTATTTGTATTATAATTTTTAATTAAACTAAAATTACGCTAATAATGTATAATAATATATGAGGGGATAATAAATTTAATTCAATTACTTATATATATAGATATTTATATATTTATATATACATATATATATATATATATATATATATATATATATATTGTTAGAAATGTAGGCTGAGATAAAGAGGGGTGAATTGATCTTTGATAGATTCTCGCAATTTACAGATTATCTATTTCAAAGATTAAGAATTCTGACCAGTTCTTGAATCACACACAACAAACAATCAAAATAAAGGTAGTGACGAAATTAAAAGAGAGAAAGGTTTAGAAAGATACAACCAAGATTTATACTGGTTCACCCAATCCCAGGGCTACGTCCAGTTTCCAGCCAAATTTCAGCTGGGTTCCACTAGATTGAACGTTTTATAGATTACAACTTTAATCTCACACTCAATCTACCACAAGAACCAAAATTCCAGTCCCTGCACCTAAACCTTCACCAAGAACCAAATTCCAGTTCTTGACCCACCCTGCAGCCAAATTCCAGCTGTAGAAACCAGTGCCCACAATTCCAGGCACCAACAATACAGTAAAGAAACAAATAAAAGAAACCAGAACACTCAAACCAGATTTATGCAGCTCTGCAGTATGAGTTTCTTCTCCAAGAGAATGCAAATTTTGCCTCAAGAAAGAACTTCTATGAACTTCACAAAACTAGCGCGTTTCTCTCTTGAAAATAACACTTATGATTGCTTGATTGATTACTAAAAGATGTGTTTTAAAAAGTTCAAGCAACTCTGTTTATATAGAAGATTTTCAAAACTGTTGGTTTATTTAATCTGTTAAAATAATCTTTTAATCTGTTAAAAGTCTTGTTTTAATCTGTTAAAACTTCTTTTAATCTGTTAAAAAGTTCTTGATTATTTTCCAGATTTTTTTAACTGATACGACACCGTTTATATCAATTAAAACTCTTTGTAAAAAATCTTCCAAACTGTTTTAATCTATTGTTTTGTCTTTCAATCGATTAAAATACTGCAAAACATTCTTATAAACTTTTCTAAGTGATTTTAACTGATAACAATCTGTTTTAATCGATTAAAACACTTTGAAAAAAATTCACTTAGTTATTTTAATCGATTGAAACACATTTTAATCGATTATAATTCTGCCAAAAGATTTCATAAAACTTTCTAAGTTATTTTAACTGATAGCAAGCTTGTATTAATCGATTAAAACATTCTGGAAAAACCTCTTAGTTGTTTTAATCGATTATTTCACATTTGTATCGATTAAAATAATGACAAAACAACTTTCAAAATACTTCAAGTTATTTCAATCGATTATTTCGAGTTTGTATCGATTAAAATTCTGCCAGAACACTTTTCAAAATATTCTAAGTCGTTTTAATCTATTATATCAATTCTATATCGCTTAAAATATCGCAGTAAGGTTTTCAAAAATCCTTCTAATGAAAACAATCGATTATTTCGAAAACATATCAGCTTAAAAACCTGTTACAAAAGTGTTAAGAACATTTTAGTTGATAAAGCTTATATGCTATTAGTTAAAATAGCTAATTAAAAAACCTTTTATCAAAATACTTTGTTTTTAACCGTTTAAACATTTTTTAGAGGCATTTGCAAAATCTTTTAAATGAAGAAACCTCATGCAGCAGAGAGATAAAAATGATTATACCTAAACAGAGATGCAAACTCACTAATCCCACTACCCTTTTATCTAAGTGACCTTTGATCGCCACAAAGTAGCCTTTGACTTCATTTTTTACTTCATCAAATCAACAAGATCTTTGCCAAAGTAATTCAATAAGATCTTCATCACTTTCTATATATATATATATATATATATATATATATATATATATATTCATTTTTAACTTTTTTTTCTTTTTAAACTTCTCACATTCTACATTGTTTTTAAACTCTATCATTTTTACTATATTATCATCCTCATTTCCTCCCATATTCTATTTTATCTTTATAATAATTAGTCTTCTTTTATAGAATACTTTATTTTCTATTTTTATTATTTATTTTCTTATAATTTAAAATAATTAATATTATTATAAAATTTATTTTTATGATTTTTACTATAATAAATCAAATTAAATGGTTCGATAATATCAATTAATTAAAATCATCACATAAAAAACTTAGATAACTATATTAAAATTATTAATTTTAAAAATATAAAATATATTTAAAAAAAACTCAAATTATAGATTGAAAATAAAATAGAATAAACAAATACTCTTTACTTTATATTATATTTAAGTGCGTGCATAAATGTTGACCTTCTTAACTATAAAACAAGAGTAGAAAAATATAAAGATAGTATTTGAAGAAGTGAATTTTGAAGACAAAGACTATTTTTATATAAATTTATTCTAGTATATCAATTAACCATAATAATACATAAAATTTTAAAACTAAACTAAAAAAAGTAAGTTTTAATTTATAAAAAAATGCATTACTAAAAGTATCATATTATATAAAGATTTTCATTAATTATAAATTTAAATGTGTTTCATAAATAAAATTATAAATTTAAATGTATTTCCACTTTTGATCTATCATAACTAAAAATAAATAGTCTCTTATTTTTCTATTTTAATTCATCATTAAATTTGTTTTATATACGAATTTGATGACTTATCATATTATTAAAAATTTGGATGAAATAATTATGTATAATATTTTTTTAGTATATTATGTTTTTAAATTTTCTAATAGAGAAAAAGTTTCAGAATTCAAAATGTTAAATACTTTTAAATATTAAAATTTATTTATAAAAATTAGGAAAAAAACAATTAATCTAAAAATATAATAATGATAAAAATATTATAAAAAAGAGTCCAAAAATGTATTTAATATTTTCAGTTTTAGTTTAATTATATTTTTAATTCTCAAAGTAGAAAAATATATTGTAATTATTTTAATTTAATAAAATATAATTTAAATTTTTAATACTAAAATTAAAATATTAAATAATAATAAATTTAATTCTTTAAATTTAGTATTTAAAAACTAAAATTATAGTTTCTCTGTTTTAAAAAATTAAAATAAATATTTAAAAATAAAAATAAAAACTAGTATTATCTTAAATTTATTAAAAATATAATTAAATCTCTATTTTCTTATGCAATTTTAGAATTTTTTTAATAAAAATCCAATATATAAAAAAGTTGAATTTTTAAAATGGTACAACCTTAATTTATATTAACTATTTTTTTGAAAAAACTGACAAGAAAAACTTGGTTTTGAAAAAAAAATTAATTTTGAAGTTATTTAAGTGATGAAGTTTCCAAATGTGATCTATAAATTTATTGAGCAAAATTGGAGGTATGTTGAATATAAATTTAAATATATTTTTAATTTATTTAAATATGGTTTATTTTTAGTATTTATAAAATAGATTAATTTTAAATTTTTAACTTTTCTAGCAGTCTATTTTTATTCTTTGTTATTAATTATGTTAAAAATGAAAAATATTAATTAGTATACATAAACTAAAAAATATTTTAACTAAAGATAAATATATTTTTATTAATAATTTAATTAAATAATATATTTATTATCTAATGTATATTGATATAAATTTTTTTGGTATATTAATTATATGACAACAACCATGGTTAAGTAATTAATAATAATAAAGCAATAAATTTAAAAATTAGATTAAAAATAAAGTATTATAAAATAAAATTGTAATAATTTTATTAAAATTATAATTTTTTAATTAATTTAATTAGGAATTAAAATTTGATAATTTGATGTGTTTAATTTTTTAATATAAATTTTTAAAATATAATTTAATTTCAATTGAAATTTTCAATTGAAAAATAAATTAAAGAATATTTGTTATTAAACTTTTCTTAAATAATGTATTGAATAGTTAATATCACTCTAGTCTTAATTTATTACAATTTAAATTTTTAATAAATTTCATTTATTTTTAATAATATTTTTATTTTAGTAATTTAAAATTAAAGTTAATCTTCATTTTATTAATATTGAGACCAAAGTTTATTTTTAAAATATATTTTAAAAATTAAATTATTTTTCAAAAATAAATTATTTTTAAAAAGTAAATTGTAAAAAATATACTAAAACAATTAAAGTATATTTATAAAAAAATAAATTTAAATATAATAAAAAAATAATATTCATTAGCGATCGATTTCAATTCGGTCGCTATTTTCTCATTAGCGACCGATTTCAATTCAGTCACTATTTCAATTTGTAATTCGGTCGCTAGTCGCTAAATGATTTTTTTTTTTAGTATGGAATAGTCACCGATTTAGCGACCGAAATTTTGCGACGCAAACTATTGGTCGCTATTTCGGTCTCTAAAAGTGAAACAAAATTATATTTCGGTGGCTAAATCGGTCGTTAAATTGCGACCGAATTAACTCGGTCGCTAAATCGGTCGCTAATTGCAACCGAATTAAATCGGTCGCTAAAACCAAAATTAAATCGATCGCTAATTACGACCGAAATTTCGGTTGCTAATTTCGATCGCTAAATGTGTTTTTTGTTGTAGTGAAACATGTCCTTTATTGAGCTAAATTATCATCAACCTTTCACAGGTAAATTATCCTTCACATTCTATTTCAGCTGCTCCAATGGCTTCAACAGAAGGCCATCAAGAATATGAAGAAGAGAAGCAAATTCAGTCCCTTCCCAAAGAGAGAGGTTGGGCATCACGCTATCTCTATCTATTTCAAGGTTTTTGGTGTCCATCAACTCATATTCAAGGTGTAAACAGTTTTCAAAACCACTTTCAGGCAAAACACAATGATGTTATTGTTGCTAGCTTTCCAAAATCTGGCACTACTTGGTTGAAAGCTCTTACTTTTGCTATTCTCAACCGTCATCGTTTCCCTTCTTTAGAGAACCATCCATTACTCACTTCAAATTCCCATGACCTTGTGCCTTTCCTTCACTTTATCTTTCATGGTGATGATATCTAAGACCAACTTTCTTACCTATCCAACATGACCGAGCCAAGAGTTTTTGGTACTCATATTCCACTCCCTTCCCTGCCCAAGTCAATCATGGAGTCCAACTGTAAGATAATTTACATTTGCAGAAATCCATTTGACACTTTTGTTTCATCTTGGTCCTTCTTCAATAACATCAAGTCAAAGTCTTTACCTGAAGTAACAATAGAGGAAGCATTACAAATGTACTGCAAGGGAATAATTGGGTTTGGTCCGATTTGGGACCATATGTTAGGTTACTGGAAAGAAAGCATAGCTACACCAAACAAGGTTCTATTCGTGAAGTATGAACAACTTCAAGAAGATGTCAAATTTTATGTGAAAAGAGTTGCAGAATACTTGGATTGTCCTTTCACGGAAGAAGAGGAAAGTAATGGAGGGATTGAAAGCATAATTAAGTTATGTAGTTTCGAGAAAATGAAAGATTTGGAAGTGAATAAATCTGGAACAGTGGGCAGGAACATTGAGAAAAAATACTTATTTCGAAAGGGTGAAATAGGAGATTGGATCGACTATTTTTCTCCAGCTATGATAGAAATGTTGTCTAAAAGAATTGAAGAAAAGTTAAGTGGATCAGGTTTTTATCCTTTAAACACTAGTGCAAAAAGGGGCTTTTACGTCAGGTATTTAGGGTTTTTCACGTCGTATTTAAAACTGACGTTAAAACGGGAGATGTAAATTTACGTCGGACCCTTTAGCCCGACGTAAATTTACGTCAGTTATCAAGACCCGACGTAATTTTGCGTTGCATATACCACTAAACAGACGTAAAAAATTTCAGAAATTAAAAAAAAACAGCAAATTTACGTCGCATATGGTATATGTGACGTAAATTTACGTCGCATATACCAATACGCGACGTAAATTTGCTGTTTTTTTTAATTGGGTCGATTCCGTTTTACAACTAAAACCCGCAAATATATATTACAACCAGACGGTTCAGAGGTTCAATTTTCTTTAGCTAGTAATATAATGATGAATAAATATAATGTTATTTTCAAAATTTAAATACAAACAATAATTATGGTATTCACTTATTATAATAAGTTTCTAATCTTAGGATAAATGAACTGCAAAGTCTTTGTTCGGGTTTTCCACTTAGAACATTAGTTATAAACACGATTCTAAATGAAAAAAAGCCATATATTATTCAATACCTTTTCCATTTTCACTACCAAATTTCAAAAATTCATCAACTCCCTTTTCGTACTCTTCACTAATATGACGTGCATTCATCCAAGTTCGATTCATATTATGTTATAAATTTTTGTCACTCCTAGATATTCAAAATCTATATTTAAAAATAAATTAATATACAAATAATAAAGCACGTATATGGAGTGTATAAACCGAAAATGCACTCAAACAAAATAATGACATTCCAATAACAATCCAGTGGAGACATTCATACAATGACGTGATTTAGATCCCCAAAAACAATCACGGATTCAATTTGAACATATATCAGGAGACATAGAACACTAACCTCGAGTAAACACGAAAACGATTTCAAACTTGAATCCAATCGGGGAGAAATGTCAAATTCGTAAAATGAGACACAATGTTGATGTTCTTCACTGCCAAAATGATTGAAAATGGTGTGGAAAGGTAGCTATCGTTGTCGTTTTCATTGTCGTTCTAAAAAACCCTTGCGGCGCGAGATGCGGGAGTGGGTATGGAAGAGAATAAAAAGAACTTTTTACGTCGCACACCCTAGTACGTGACGTAAAAAGCCTCTTTTACGTCGCGTGGGGGGTGCGCGACGTAAAAAGTGATACTTTTTACGTCACATGGGGGTGCGCGACGTAAAAAGTGCTTTTTACGTCGCGCACCCCCTACGAGAGGTTTTTAACGTCACCTCCTACAATATGCGACGTAAAAGTTTCACCTCTTATTTACAAAATTGCCACCGCATTTTATTTACGTCGAATATTTTGACATGCGACGACAATTGGGTGACGTAAAATGTCATTTTTGCACTAGTGAAAACGCATGCTTAAATATGCAGTGTGTGGCACATTATGCATCTCATTGTGATATCTCCTTTTGCCTTGTACAGAGGCATCATGAGTGGTAGAGACAAGTAGGTACCTAAGTTGTTTTTATCCAAAATTGGACTGAGCGTGTGTTTAACTCTTTGTTTGGCTCTCTATGTACTTGATTTGAATAATTTATTTACTCACTCTTAGAAATTCTAAAATACTTTCAGAATCCTACTATGTAATTTGATTATCTGATTCGATATTTGAACTGCAAAGCAATATGTTATAATTTGTGTAGTGAATAAAAAGTAATTATATCATGTTTATATTAACACAGTGATTTTAATAAAATGGAAGATGTAGATGTTGATCATTTCATAGAATATTTTTTTTTTTGGAACAAAGACCATGCAGTTAATGCTCACTAAAAAAAACTTTTGTGGGTGTTACTTGTGGCAAACAATTTTCACCTTGTAGAAATTTACATTTTTGTTGTAAAATTTTATTATTGTGTGGACTTTGTGTGTACATGGTTTTGTTGAATAAAATTAAATAATTAATTGAAAATTTATTAGAAAAAAAATAATAAGAAGATAATTAGGAGTTTGTTGGAACATTTTGATATTAGTGATATCTTGGTTAGTTATTATTTTTATTTTGGGAAGATATTGAGACTTTGTATAAATACGACATTGTATTCCTCATTTGAGAATTGTCGAACAAATCAATAATATACAACTTTACCGTTTCTGAGAAATTCTTTGTTATCAAATTGATTTCAAGAGGTAGGGTTTTTTTAGAAGAACTAGGGTTCTTCATAGCAGTGAGAGCTAGGGTTTCCCATGAGAGTTGAAGGTTTAGTGTTGAGTGTTTAAAAAAAGTGACATGGTTGGTCTATTGAATTGACCAAGGAGGTCGGTTATGATAGATAGAATGCCCAAATGAAGTCTATCCTCAAAGTCCAAGGAGGTCGGATATGATAGATGGATGCAAAATGATAAACAAAATCAAATTACTATAGAATATTAACGATAATTAAAATTAAATGAAAACAATTTCTAAATAATTGAATTTTATAAAATTAAAATAAAGTGTTTTAATTAACATTGTAAGAATCAATAATTACTTTAAAATAAAATGAAATTTATAAAATCAAAATAAAGTATTTTTATTTAAAAGTGCAAAAATTAAGAATTACTTTAAAATAAAATAGTGCACTAATCAAATTTGAAATTTCTGAAAATGACAACTCTAAAGCTAAATTGAGAATTGAAATTAGAAAAGAGATAAATTGAAAATGAAAATTAAAATAAAATGTTTTTAATTAAAAGTAAAAAAATTAAGAAATACTTAAAAAAAATAGTGCAGTAATCAAATTTTTAAATTTCTGGAAACGATAAGTCTAAAACTAAATTGAGAATTGGAATTGGAATAGAGATTAATTGAAAATGAAAATTAAGCAATACTGAAATAAAAATTCTAAACAATTAAATAGCAAAAATTAAAATGAGTACTAAATAAATAAAGTAAATAGAACACTACAAGAAAAAACACATTTAGCCACCGAAATTAGCGATCGAATTTTTTCGGTCGCAATTAGCTAATCGCTTTAGCGACCGATTTAATTTTGGTCGCAGTTAGCGACTCGATTTAGCGACCACTTTAATTCGGTTGCAATTAGCGACCGATTTAGCGACCAAAATATGATTTATTTTGCACTTTTTTATTTAGCGACCGAAATAGCGACCAATATTTTTGTGTAGCAAAATTTCGGTCGCTAAATCGGTGGCTATTTCATACTGAAATAAAAAAATCATTTAGCGACTGATTTAGCGACCGAATTACAAATTGAAATAGTGACCGAATTAAAATCGGTCGCTAATGAGAAAATAGCGACCGAATTGAAATCGGTCGCTAATGAATATTATTTTTTTATTATATTTAAATTTTTTTTATAAATATACTTTAATTGTTTTAGTATATTTTTTACAATTTATTTTTTAAAAGTAATTTAGTTTTTAAAAATAATTTAATTTTCAAAATATACTTTAAAAATAAACTTTGGTCTCAATATTAACAAAATGAATTGTAATAAATCAAATTTATTAAAAATTTAAATTGTAATAAATTAAGACTAGAGTGATGTTAACTATTCAATACATTGTTTAAGAAAAGTTTAATAACAAATATTCTTGAATTTATTTTTCAATTGAAAATTTCAATTGAAATTAATTTATATTTTAAAAATTTATATTAAAAAATTGAAGAAAATAGTGATTTAATTATACTTTTAATAAATTTAACATAATAATAGTTTTGATTTTGATTTTTAAATATTTATTTTAATTTTTTAAAACAGAGAAACTATAATTTTAGTTTCTAAATACTAAATTTAAAGAATTAAATTTATTATTATTTAATCTTTTAATTTTAGTATTAAAAATTTAAATTATATTTTATTAAATTAAAATAATATTACAATATATTTTTCTACTTTGAGAATGAAAAATATAATTAAACTAAAACTGAAAATATTATAATACATTTTTGAACTCTTTTTGATTAATTTTTTTTCCTAATTTTTTATAAAGTCAATTTTAATATTTAAAAGTATTTAACATTTTGCTTTCGAAATGTTTTCCGTATTACCAAATTCCAGCTCTTAATAACCTCTACAACCAAATTCCAGTATGAGAGAAACCGAGTGCCCAAATTCCAGGCACCAAACAATACAAAAAGAATGTAAAGAAATGAAAAAGAAGAAACTAGAATGCTCAAACCAGTTTATGCAATTCTGCTGTAAGTGTTTCTTCTTCAAAAGAAATCAAGTTGCCTCAAGAAAGATTTTCAAAGAACTTCTCAAAAGCTGATGCGAATCTTTCTTGAAAAGAGTCGTTGAAGTTTGCTTGATTGATTGCTCAAGGATGTGTAAAAGATGATATTCAATGTATGTTAAAAAAGTTCAAGCCAAACTGTTTTAATAGAAGATTTTCAAAACTACTGGTTTAATTAATCTGTTAAAAGATTCTTTTAATCTGTTAAAAGTGCAGTTTTAATCTGTTAAAACTTCTTTTAATCCATTAATACGTTCTTGATTCTTTAACAGATTTGTTTTAACTGATACGACAACGTTTATATCAATTAAAACACTTTACAAAAAATCCTCTAAGTTGATTTAATCTATTGTTTCACGATTCAATCGATTGAAATACTGCAAAACTTTCTTGTAAAACTTTTCAAGTTATTTTAACTGATAAAAATAAGTTTTAATCGATTAAAACGTTGTGTAGAAATTTTTAAGTTGTTTCAATCGATTGAAACAAGATTTAATCGATTAAAACAGATTCTGATCGGTCATAATTGCATTATGATCGATCATCCTGAACCCTTAAGTGGTTTTAATCGATTAAAATCAAGTTGTATCGATTAAAATATTGTAAAAACATTTCACTTGACATTTTAATGTAAGTTTTCATTATGATCGATGAAAATAAGAACATAATTGAGAAGATATGATAGCGGTTCCACGTTAACCGCTATCTAAAGTATAATTTAGATAGCGGTTAATAGTTAACCGCTATTAGAAGTGCACTTTTAAGAGCGGTTCTTGTGGAACCGCTATCTAAAATGTATTTCGCTTGAGCGACAATGGTCTCGCTCGAGCGAAACGCCCCCTGCACAAAATTGGCATTCTCGGGTTGTATTTCGCTTGAGCGACACCACTCTCGCTCGAGCGAAATACGATTCTGATCGATCATAACTTGAAATGATCGATCATAATTGAGAGGATATAATAGCGGTTCCCTTATAACCGCTATCTGAAGTGTATATTAGATAGCGGTTAAGGTTTAACCGCTATTAGAAGTTCCCTTTAAGAGCGGTTTCGGTGGAACCGCTATCATATACAACCATATTTTAAGATTGTTAAGTCTCGGGTTGTATTTCGCTTGAGCGAGACTACTCTCGCTCAAGCGAAATCCGATTCTGATCGATTATATTTTCAAAATGATCGATCATATTTGATAATTTTTTCAAATAATTATTTATAATCGATTAGTTTTCTAAATTATTGATTAGAATTGATTAGTTTTTCAAATAATATATTAGAATTGATTAATTTATGAAATTTATAATTAAAAATATAGATTATTTAAGAATATTAACTATTGTAAAGATAAAGTAGAACATGGGAGGAGATGAGGATGATAATATAATGATAGAAGTTACAAAAATGTAGAATTGAGAAGTTTGAAACAAAAAAAATTAAGAAAATAGAGATTTAATTACACTTTTAATAAATTGAAGATAATACTAGTTTTGATATTGATTTTTATTTTAATTATTTAAAACAGAGAAACTATAATTTTAGTTTCTAAATACTCAATTTAAAGAATTAAAGTCATTATTATTTAATCTTTTAATTTTAGTATTAAAAATTTAAATTATATTTTATTAAATTAAAATAATTACAATATAATTTTCTACTTTGAGAATGAACAATATAATTAAGAAGATCAAGTCTAATGTTATTGATGCTAATTTTAACAATAATACAATAATATTATTTTCGAAAACGCCCATATGAATGTGAATATTTTGATTATTATTATATAAAATAATTAAAAGAATAAGGTAAATAGAAAAGTAAAATGCATGGTTATACCACTTTCCTTTTAATCTATAATTAGTTAGGTATGAATCAAATGTAAAGTCTAATGTTATTGATGTTAATTTTAAGAAGATCACAAAATGTAAATTAAAATAATTACAATATAATTTTCTACTTTGAGAATGAACAATATAATTAAACTCAAAATTGAGAATACTCTTATACATTTTTGAACTCTTTTGGATAAATTTTTTTTCCTAATTTTTGATAAAGTTAATTTTAATATTTAAAACTATTTAACATTTTGAATTCTGAAAGGTTTTCTCTAATAGAAAATTTAAAAACATAATATTCAAAAAAATATTTTAAGATTGTGAATTCTCGGGTTGTATTTCGCTTGAGCGACACTACTCTCGCTCGAGCGAAATACGATTCTGATCGATCATAACTTGAAATGTTCGATCATAATTGAGAGGATA